GTGACATGTGAAGTGTGTATGTGTGTATGTGTGTGTATGCTACAGTCCGGGTGGTTCGGTGCAGTCCATTCTCATTCTTGCTGTAACCGGTGACACGTGAAGTGTGTATGTGTGTATATGGGTGTGTGCTGCAGTCCGGTAGTAGAGTTCAATTCCTTCTCACCTGTGTTGTAACTGGTGACATGTGAAGTGTGTATGTGTGTATGTGTGTGTGTGCTGCAGTCCAGGTGGTTCAGTGCAGTCCATTCTCATTCTTGCTGTAACCGGTGACATGTGAAGTGTGTATGTGTGCGTGTGCTGCTGTCCCGGTGGTTCAGTGCAGTCCCTTCTCACCTTTGTTGTAACCGGTGACATGTGAAGTGTGTATGTGTGTATGTGTGTATGTGTGTATGTGTGTGTGTGCTGCAGTCCGGGTGGTTGAGTGCAGTCCATTCTCATTCTTGCTGTGACCGGTGACATGTGAAGTGTGTATCTGTGTATGTCTGTGTGCGCTGCAGTCCGGGTGGTTCAGTGCAGTCCCTTCTCACCCTTGCTGTAACCGGTGACATGTGAAGTGTGTATGTGTGTGTGTGCTGCAGTCCGGGTGGTTCGGTGCAGTCCATTCTCATTCTTGCTGTAACCGGTGACACGTGAAGTGTGTATGTGTGTCTATGGGTGTGTGCTACAGTCCGGTAGTACAGTTCAGTTCCTTCTCACCTGTGCTGTAACCGGTGACATGTGAAGTGTGTATATGTGTGTGTGTGTGTGTGTGTGTGTGTGTGCTGCAGTCCGGGTGGTTCAGTGCAGTCCCTTCTCACCTTTGCTGTAACCAGTGACATGTGAAGTGTGTATATGTGGGCGTGTGTGTGGGCTGCAGTTTCGGTGGTTCAGTCCAATCCCGTCTCACCTTTGTTGTAACCGGTGACATGTGATGTATGCATTTGTGTGTGTGCTGCAGTCCCGGTAGTTCGGTTCGGTTTCTTCTCACTTTTGCTGTGACGGGTAACCTCGGAGAAGTAATGTATGGTACGGTGGTCTGGTTCCGGGATTAGGGGTCGTGACCGGCGGTGAGCCGGGCGCTTGATTAGGGGGCAACACGGGCTAAGGATCGCTTTGCACCTGTCCTCTCGTCATCTTCACCACTATTCTCCCACCTTAAGTCCCCTTCCTCCGTCACCGACATCCATCTACCATAGCCGACCACCCCCAACCCTTCTTCCACTTCCATCACCTACAACCATCCACCATAGCCGACCACCCCCAACCCTTCTTCCACCTCCATCACCTACACCCATCCACCATAGCCGACCACCCCCAACCCTTCTTCCACCTCCATCACCTACACCCA